AGGAAGGGAGGGAGAAGGGATCTGGGATTGTCATGTAATTCAATCTTGTTTCTAATTCAAATAAAAAAAATAGAAAAATAAAAAAAAATAAAAACAAGAAAAAAAAGACATGCTTGAGCAACACAGGCATAACTATGAAGGAACACATAGACTGACAGGCAATGTGGGCACACTGCTCCTCACAACAGTGTGAAGGGACAAGTGCCTTTGTATTGGAATGTATGCATGGTCTATATGAGAGCTCATTCACAGTGCACGAACCTACGTCTAAATGGGATAGTAGGTAACACAAAGGACTTTCGGCAGAGGGGACACCCAACTGGACACAGAGCAAGAACTAGTAAAAAGAAGGGGAAAGAGTCTCAGAAGCAAAAGGGATTAGAAAACCTTATCTAGACAATGATCCACCAAGCAATTAGCTGTTGTTAGGAAAGAAAGTGAGATTCTGTAGCTGCAAAGGCAGGGGAGAGCCATGCATTCCAGACAATTTGTTGGCACTTGAAGCCAAGCCCCCAAATCCGGGCCCTAGGGAGGGGCAGCAAGAGACATGAATGGTTTTAAATGAGATATTGACATGGTCAGAAACTTGTTTTAAAAACATAAGGCAGGAAGTAGAGCACAGCTCCCCAAATTATAAATTCCAAGTGAATCCCTGGGAGTCTTGTTCAAAAGCAATCTGATTCAGTAGGATTGGCTGAAACCTGAGCATCTGTGTTTCTCGCTGCTCATGAGGCCCCTGGTGGAAGAAATGCTGGCTGGGACAACTTTGAGAAACAAAGGTGGAAGGGATGAACAGAAGATGGGGCAAACTGGTGGCAAGAAGATACTTTAGGGTACCATCATGGTTGTGGAAAGTGAAGATGATAGTTGTGAAGTAAGGTAATAGGCATCACAAGAGAGAAAAGCCAGATGTGACACTTAGCACTGAAGTGGACACAAGAAGAGAGCTGAGGCTGGGAAGGGGGAAAGAGTCTAATTACTGCTGACATTCTCTTTGCAAGCAAGACATAGGGTCTTGCCTCCTGCCAGGGTAAGGGTATGCAGACACAACCACTGAACTTAGGTACATTTCGCAGTCTACTGGGTTTTTCCTTGTCATTTTTAAAACTGCTCTTTAAATATGTGTGCATGTGTGTATGTGATGGATAAATACGTGTATCCATGTCCCTCCTTTGATACTCCCTATCCTTTGTACAAGTCTGAAAAGACAAACAACCTTTATCGTATCTTACGCCCTCTGCTGGCATGGTGACAAAATAGCCAAACCTCTCATTTATTCACTCTGCTTTTAAAGTAACTAACTCCACGTGGTGTTTTTCTTTCCTGTTTCCTGGAGTGAATTTCAGAGGGTCCATGTTCCCTATCTCTTTTTCAGCTGACCAGGTCCACCCCTCTGGAACTGTTCCAGATCAGCTGCCTCCATGGCAGTATAATCACATTGTATCCTCATGGAGACCACTGTGATGTAATCCCTTCTGGATACTCTGTTCCTTTCAGTTTCTTGAACCCCTTCATTCCTGACCTAGGACAGTGCTTCTCACCCTTCCTAATGCTGTGACCCTTTGTTCCTCATGTTGATGGTCTAGACAGTGGCTCTCACCCTTCCTAATGCTGTGACCCTTTAATACAGTTCCTCATGTGGATGGTCTAGACAGTGGTTCTCACCCTTCCTTATGGTGTGACCCTTTAATACATTTCCTCATGTTGATGATCTAGACAGTGGTTCTCAACCTTCCTAATGCTGTGACCCTTTAATACAGTTCCTCATGTGGATGGTCTAGACAGTGGTTCTCACCCTTCCTAATGCTGTGACTTTTAATACAGTTCCTCATGTTGATGGTCTAGACAGTGGTTCTCACCCTTCCTAATGCTGTGACCCTTTAATACACTTCCTCATATTGTGGTGACCCCCAACCATAAAATTATTTCATTACTGCTTCATAACTGTAATTTTGCTACTGTTAAAACTGTAATGTGCCAGGAGGTGGTGCCATATGCCTTTAATTCCAGTGCTCTGGAGGCAGAAGCAAGTGGATCTCTGTGAGTTGGAGGCCAGCCTGGTCTACAGAGCAAGTTCCAGACAGGCTCTGTGCTGAGAAACCCTATGTCAAAAAACAAAAACAAAACAAAAAAGGAGTCATAACCCACAGGGTGAGAACCATTTCCATATAGCATTTTTTTGGAACCCAGAGCCAAGCAGAGAACTCTGGGTAAAGGATGGGACATGTTCTAAGTAGAACAAGAGTTTTGGAGATAGTTGTGCATTTGGTGTTGTTTGGTGCATTTCTGAATGAAGCAATGTTGTCCACAGTGAGGGCTTCCTTTAGTCTTGTCCTGTATCTTTCACTCCCATCTATGCCTGTGTTGAGAAACAAGAGCAGCAGGCACTTTTTCCCCTGTGCCCGGCCCCTCCTGAAGAGAAATCTGTCTCATTTCTTAGCCTCTACTGACCCAGGAATCCAAGGACTCCTTGAAAATTAAACTCTAGCACTGCCTCTAAAAACTACTTTTACTTTTTCATCAAAAATGCAAATACTCTGGGCCCCCAAAAGATAGCTGAACTGATAAAGGCACTACTTACTAACCCTGACGCCCTGAGCTGGATCTCAAGGACCAACATCATGAACTGCCCTGAGTTGT